GTGCGTGTGAGTGTGTGTGTGTGTGTGTGTGAGTGTGCGTGCGTGAGTGAGTGTGTGTGCGTGCATGTGCGTGTGTGTGTGTGTTTAAATAAGTGCAGGTTGTTTACAAAAATCATCAGCGGTCACAAAGAGAGGAAGCTAATTAGCAGTTAACAATGTATGCAAACATGCCAAATTTCCTCACATCTCTCACCCTCCACCACTCCACCCTAATATCGCTGATAAGACACACATTAGAAGCTTTTCCTAGGAATTTTCTTGTATGCATGAATATCAGTTCTTCATATGCCTATTGATAATGGATATGTCTGCATGTTATTCACAGATGAGTGCGGCACCTCAGGAAAACATGAACGTGTTCAGTGATGGGGTCACCCGGATCGGTGAGTATGGGGAGACAAGCACATCAATGAAAAGACTTGAATTCTGAGAGCTTCATTTAGTCATTTTGACAAAGGATTGGGCAAAAAAGGTCTTTTAGAGATATTTTTGTGCATTTTCTCTGCTAACAATATTTCCCATTTGTTTCTTGTATGAGATTCATCTGTATAATGCTGATAAATAGTGATGATTTCAGAATAAGTCAGATTTAGAATTTCAGTGCATTCGATCAATATGAAGACATCGTTGTGAATGTGTCGTCAGATTTTGTCTTGGTGTGGGAGGAATCTGTGAACCCCCTGAAGTTTGCAGAATCAGATGAAGTATCGTCGGGTTCCTCGCGTGACACTCACAGGAAGTGGAGGACAGAGTTTCTTTCTAGACTCCGGACTGATGGTCTTCATCAGGAGACGGTACGTAACTCCGACTACATTTTCACACGCATCAAATTCTCTTTAAATTCTAGATTTGGGTTGCAGCCATAGTCCTATACAGCCTTGTGAAAAAGAAGTGCACTTTAGCATATGTATATATAAAAAAAAGAGTACTTATTATGGAAATAGGCATACTATAAAAGCATATACTTGAGCTCAAACTGAATGTAATGTGTTTGAAAAACATAATGATTTAAAATGTACTTCAATTTGACTTTATTACCATGTGCACTTTTTAAAGGTGTACTTAAGAAAACTTTTAAGAAACTTTGAAGAAACTCCCATTAAGTCATTTATTTTATTAATGTTATCTGCAGTTTTTTTTTAGGACTCCGATCACACCTTCAAAACTGTCTGACAACACATAAATGCATCTATTTTAATTCCCCCTTTAGGTGGCTCTTATGGGGGGAACTTTGATTTCAAACTCTAAAAAAGCAAGTAAACAGTCAGCAATAAAATAAGAATAGATCAATGACAAGCAATGGCACAAACAAATACAATAACGAGATACAACTAAAACGAACTGTGCTTTAAGTTTTTCAGGTAGGTATAACAGTAATATCCAGGTCCAGAAATACCACAGAAACGGAATAATCTATTTAACTTTAAAATAACACTGGTTAGTCTTCAATGTATAAATAAACATTAAAGGCAGGGTATGTGATTTTTCAAAAACACTTTAGAAAACTGATTCGGGCCGAATAGCAAAACAAACTTGTAGCCAATCAGCAATAAGGGGCGTGTCTACTCGTGATGTGGAGGAGAGCGCGTTCAGTGCATGGGACGGACATTAGCCGAGCCGAGCGACAGAAAGATAGAGATGGCGGATAAAAAACAAAAGAGGAAAACGTCTGCGGAACGATAAGGCAAGAAGTAGGACACGTGTAAATATCGGATCAGCTTTCCAGCGCTGATCCAGTTTTCTGTCGGGGATTTGTTGCACCGCGCCGCTTAATGACAGACAGCAGCAGGTTTATTTAGGTTGCTGTCTCTTTAAGACCTCATGCACGGATCTAACTGTAACACATAAGTTTTGTTTCTCAACTCTTTACGTGGATACTCATCAAGACGGGCATTTTGACATCATTTTGTATGTATTTGGCTGTTAACGCGCAATAAGACGCAACACAACTTCATTCTGTAGTCACGCGCTCTCAGATGCAGCTCTGTGCACGCGCTTTGGGTGTGAGCTCACAGAAAGGAGTCTCACAGAGAGCGCACAAGTACTGAATTGAGCGCTTGAATGTTTAAAATTGTAAGACTCAAAAGCATGTGCAAATGATGCATTCCGTCATCTGTCACGAGTGTCTTTCACGCTGAAATATTTGCGGGAATTTCCCACAATTATGCACAATCCCTGCAATCCCGCGCCGAAATTTAAGCCCTGAAAACAAATTTAAGATTAACAGTAATTAATACTACTCAATACTAATCTGAATATCGCCACATTACAATGAATATTTATGCATGTAGATGTAGTCTGTGTTGAATTATCTAAAATGCATGCTCTAGAATTACCCGCTTTGAATTTTGTCTTAAAACATTTTCTTTAAGAAACTTAAAACGTTCAAACTCTTTAAAGAAGCATCAACACCTAAGTGCCATTTTAAAGAACCAAAATCAGATCTTTTTAGGTGCCCCAAAGCAAACTGTCTGCAAGGACACTTTCTAATGCGGGGTTTTCTCAGCTCTGGCCCTCGAGGTCCACTTTCCTGCAGAGTTTAGCTCCAAACTTGATCAAACTCACCTGCTTCTAATAAGGGTGCTTTCACACCTGGCCTGTTGTTTCGGAACCTGTCACGTCTCCCCCCTTAGCTCGGTTCGTTTGGACATATGTGAACACGGCAATCGCGCTCGGATCCGCGCCAAAACAATCGGTCCGAGATCGCCTGAACGAGGTGGTCTCGGCTCGATTGAAATCGAACTCTGGAGCGGTTCGGTTGTAGTGAGAAAGCAATCCGATCCAACGGACCAACGAACCAGACTATATCACAATGTATAATGGGTAATTACGTAAGTTCCGTGAAAAGCATTATCTTTGTTATTTTGCTAATACCTCAAAATGAACCTGTGAATGTCTGTGGGTGAGCACGTCTTTGCCATTCAAAAATCAAAGCGCACTTTTTTATTTTATAATGCCGTCTTATTGCTCTTCTTTGTAGGTGCATTTTAAAAATGTTTTCCCAATCAATCCTGGACTCCTGCTCAAAATGATAAATTATTATAACGACAGCTACAAAAAAAACAAAACAACAATAAGCCCACAAAGCTGTTATCGTTCCATCCTGACGGATGACATGCGTGACAGCTAAGTGGAATCCCGGAAAATAAACCTTGGAACTTTGACCAATGAGAGAACAGTTTACTCGCGCGTTACTCCGTTTTGAAACTTTGCCGTGTGAAAGCGAACCGCACCAAGAATAAAAAGCAACATTGTAATAAATTGAATCCCAGTTTCGGAACAAAGCA